CTTTAGCTGCCAATTAGCAATGTCATTAATCCACTGCCTAGGAGAAGTTCATGATTAAAATAGATGGTGTCACTGACCATTGACAAGACGGTATGCAGAAGGTTGTGCTGTAGCTGCCTGTCACTGTGCTGTGGTATTTAGAGCTCAGTCCCGTAGGGAAGTAACAATTTCTTAATTTATTTGCATTCTGGGGTAAAGACCGACATATTATCCAGGCTTTGAATATTGCATTATATTGTGTTCTGGACAAGGAATCTGCAGCAGACCCTGGGAGAGCTAATGCACCACCTGCCCCCCGTTATCAGACGAGCTTGGTCAGAGAACACCTTGTGTCCACATTAGCTGCAAACGTCCTTCGCTGTGTTCACCCACAGAGCCACCCCAAGGCTCTTCGGGGGCGGCAGATTTGAATTTTGCCTCCTCAAGGATGAGTATCTGAAGCTGGGCCAAAGCTTCGTTTCCTGCTGGTGAGAGAAGAGGGATAGGGGAAGAGGCAAGGGGAGGGCTTGAGGGTTTAGGCGTGCTTTTTCTGCTGCTCTGGGGGCAGCAGGAAGAGGCTGGTGGTGCGTGACTGCTGCCAGGAAAGGCTAACCTCTAGCTGAAGACCACAAACCCTTGGTGACAGTGGCCAGCCTGGTTTTCCAAGGCCACAGATAAAATAAGCAACGACCTAGGACAGCAGACAGTGGAGGAGACAGAGGGCCACTGTCCTGTTGTGTTGGACAGAAGGATTTTTTGTTCTGTAGTGGGAATTGCACTCTAGCTTGCTTGCTTAAGAAAAAGATGGCCAGTGCTTTAATTTACATCCCACCTGGGGATCAAATCTCTCAGCAAGACAGGAGGGTTTTTTTCCCCCAGATCTCACTTTTGAAGGAAACAAATTTCCATGTCAGAGGATGAAATAGTAGGAATATTTTTCTTAGGTGGATCTTCCAACTTCTGGTTTGTAGCTACACTAATTTGTGGGTGAAGGAAATATTTTGGTACTGAAAACTTGCCAAAATGCTGTTTAACAGGGAATTGCAGTTTAATTAGCACTTATGAGACATTAACAATAATTGTATTCAATTTGGCCACTCAGGATAAAGTGTGATTCAGGATCAGCTGGTTGGTGCTCTAAAAAAAAAAAAAAGAAAAAGAAAGAAACATTGCTGTGTGGTCTGGTGAATATGTGTCATTAGCTTCGTGTTCATAGGTAGAAGCTTTTGTTGGCTGCTTGACTCTCTTTTCCCATGAGGTATTGTGCTGGACTGGGAAAAAGTGGAAGGAACTTGTATTAACTGGAGGGAAATGGTTTGACTTCAAGTTCATGCTTTTGCAGTGAGATGGATTACAGTTTATCCCTGCTATATCTTTTGCTGTGATTTTTAGGAAAAGTGCCAAAAACTTTAATTTTTTTTTTCCATTTACTTATTTATGCTTTGCTTTGCCAAAGAATGAGAAAGCCTCCCACTTTTAGCAAGCATGTGAACAAGAAAGGCAAGGGAACCCGGGGTGAAATTTGACGTGGAGACTTGTGTACGGTGCAGGATAGCCATAAACATCCCTTGAATATTTCTTTTTCCTTTGCAGCAGAGTTCATTATGCTGTCTGAGTTGTGGCTGTATGTGAAAACAAAGACAGTGCCGCAAAATGATTGCAGTTTCAAAGCCTGGCTGTGAACAGAGAAAACAAACTATATGCAATTTAAGCGCCTGTTTGTATGCAGGCTACCACACAAGCCTAACATATACACTAGTATGATGTAAGGCAGCGGAGATGACCTGATTAGCAAAGCCCTTTCAATGACCTGAGGACATCCCTGCTGCACCAGTACACCCCTCCTTGGAGACCAGCGGCTAGTCCCAGATGAAGGAAACCTTCCTGCAGCAACAAGAGCTAGCAGAGGGTTTCTGAAAATGGCAATGACGGTACTCTCTGTGTGTTGTGAAGGTGAGGGAAATAAGAAGAGTAAACAGCCTGCACAACTTTGCAGAATAGCTGGCATATTATGAAAGATGCAACATGAATTACTTGAGCTTTGTGAGATACATTTGCAGGAGCTGTGGAGCACTGTGTGTTTGGTGAGGGTGCATTTCAGCAAACAGCTCGCTCCGTTTTGTTGTGCTTTTTATCCTGTTGGATGAAAGCCATCATTCAGCAGAAAGAAACGCTAGGGCAAGATAAAGTAAGTGATCTTCCAGTTTGTAAGATCTTGCAGCCTTGCTTTCATACGTGCTGAGCAGGCAAAGGTCCAGAGACTTGAATGGGAACTTGTGGTGCTCAGCACTTATTACAGTCAAGTGTTTATTATTCCATGTCAGAGAAATAGAGAGAAAAATTTATATACATAAGATGACACATGAGACACAAGGCTTTCTGTCTCTCTTGTGAGTACATATAAATATACACAATTGGTTTGAGGGTTTTTTGGTTATTTTGTACATTGCTGTGCGTGGAGAGCATGCAGGCTTGTGGCAGCGACCCGGCGTTTTAGGTGAGGAGTGCAGGGCACTTTTTCTGGCTCTACCCTAGCTACTTGTGTGGCCAAGTGTATTAAATACTGCCCCTGAAGACAGCAAACCATTTATTTGGGCTTCATTCTCAGACTTGCTGAATACCCCCAAAGGCTGCTGTTATTAGAGGGAACTGCTATTCCTTAGCTCTGAAAGTGGGCTGTCCATAAATCACAAACACGTGCTTTCCACCGGGAGGTGGGACTAAAACCTCAGCTTTCTCCCTGCCAGCCCGCGAAGCTGGCAGAGCTCCCACTCTTCTAGCACTTCCACTGAGGATGTGTTCTCCTGGTCACAAGGCTGGTGATGGCTGTGCCACCCACTGTACCTTGGGCTCCACACGAGCGTTGGATGGCTTCCCATTGCTTCTCTTGCAGCTGTGGTGGGCTGGGCCCCCTCATGCTCGCCATGCAAATGGCCTCCTGTTGACCTGTTTCTGCTTTCCTTCCTCCCCTTGTTGAGGTGGTGGTGGCCTCGCAGAAGAAGCTATTAAGAAAGCTATATCTTGTCCTTGGGGGATGATTTGCAATTGCATAAAGTTTAGGCCATCTTTCTCAAGGCCAGCAAGACATTGCTGTCATCCATGTATTTCCCTGTGTGTGCTATTAGTACCAGGGTTAGCACTGTGGAGCAGAGCGCCGTCCCTGGGGGACTGTGCTCTTCCACCACGCTGGGTGTAGGTGGGGATGGCCATCCTGCGCCCAGGCCAGCACAGCCACCCACTGGCACTGGCTGGGGCCAGGTCACAGTCAAGCTCTCAGTCTGTGCCATTGTTTCTTCCCTTCTATAAATGAAGTGCTCAAATATTTCGTAGTTACAGGCCATTTCGATGACAGTGCCTGTGCTGATACTAGTCTGCTGTGATCTGATCTGCCTGTGTCCTTGCTCCGGATGTGCTTTGCTGTAGTAGTACTTTCATTCCTTAGCTCCCATTAGTGCCTCGATGAATAGTGGAAGATGTGTTTCAACAATTTTATGATTAAAAAGCAATGTCTTACCGTTGTTTGGTCCCTAGTGCCTTTACCCTGTTCATTATGCTTTGCCTAGGATTAACAACAGTGATTTAGAGTTGCAACATCAACATCAGCCTCTGAACCTTGTGTTTTCTTTAACTATAAATTCTGGGGAAGGAGGAGAAAGGAGGATGAAGGAGGAAGTCTAAGTAGGAGGGTTTGTTCTTCTGACATTTCCAGGCCTGCTGTTTGAAACTGTGGTGGCTCACAGCAATCAGACACATTTACTCCTAACTCTCTCATTGGGTTCCCAGACAGGGGCCCCTTGGGCAGCTGCTCTGGAGCATACCTGGCCAGGGTTTGGAGGCACTGGCCAGCCTCAGAGCATGCATTTGCACTCCAGGTCCACTGCTGTTACCAGCACTCGTGCTAATGGCCTTAATACAGAGGTCAAAAACTGCTTAGATATGAAGGCTGAATCACCTCCTTTTTAAAACCCTCAGCAGGATCAAGGCTTAGGGAAGCAGGCACGTGGGCTTGCCTTCTGGCTGACAGTGTGGATGGAGAGTGTGACTCTGGGACAGGCCTTTCGGCAGGTTCGACCAACCACGGAGGCATTGAAATGGGGGTGTCTGGTGATTAAAACACCCTTGCACCGACACCCCTACATGAAAAAGCCTGATGCATTCATTTTCTTTAAAGATTTGCCGATCCCACAAGCTTTTGGTAGTTTGAGGAGGTTTGTCATGTGACCCAAGGATCACAGAAATCAGTGGTGAGCCCATCAGTCCAACCAGGCAAATAGGAAAGATCTTCAACTGTGCTTATTTCACTTGCAAATATAAATAAGCCAGCAGCATAGGTCTCACCTCAGACCTGTTTGCCTTGGCAGTGTCCCATTTACATGAATCAGAATATGGTAGCAAAAAAGCACTGGAGGCTCATCCAGAGATTGATTTCCCCTCTGTCAGGAAATGTGCCCATGCAGGCAGGGTGATTTGGAGATTACTGACACAGCCCACAAGCCTGGCTTCACTAGGTTCCTGTGTTTTGAACAATTCTGCTTGTGAAGGGTTCTTGTTTCCGCAAGCTGTGGCGGTGCAGTGTCCTGTCTTTGGAAGCCCTGTGTCTTGGTGCACGAGGCAGGAGAGACCTGGAAGAAGCAGCTGTGGCTAAGTCCTTTGCTCTTGTGACTGGAGCTCCTTGAAAGGAAGGGAGCTCCTGTGTTTAAAGCTGAGAAGCAGGAGGTCAGTTCTTAAGCCTGCTGCATCTCTGCAACTTTTGGTAGGTCTCTGGATCATGCCGTGCCTTAGTTTCTAAGCTATAAGACAGACAGACAGAAATTAGGAATTTTAAAAACAAACAAACAAGGCCTTGAAAAAATATGCAGTTGTAATCTGTGGTGCCATCATCACCATGAGGCCCTCGTGTTCATTTAAGCTTCAAGGCTGTGCTTTAATATTGATAATAGAAATTTATTATGATATTAGCAATTGGGAACTTAGAAAATGCAAGGTTTTAATTATTTGTTTGTTTGTGGTTTTTTTTTCAGCAAATTCAGTAAAGCTAGAAATGCAAAGTGATGAGGAATGTGACAGGAAGCCCCTGAGTCAGGAAGATGAGATCAGGGCTCATGATGAAGGAAGCAGCCTGGAAGAGCCCCTCACTGAGAGTAACGAGATGGCGGATAACAGAAAGATCCAGGAGCTATCGAGCGAGGGAGGAATCCGGCTTCCGAATGGTAAACTGAAATGTGACGTCTGTGGCATGGTTTGCATTGGGCCCAATGTGCTAATGGTACATAAAAGGAGCCACACTGGTAAGCAGCTGAAAGAAAATCTGATGACTGCCTGTGGCGTCTGATGTTGATGTTACCTGACAACTCTTCTCTCTTCCCTTTTCATTCATGGGGTAGCAGGAGGCTGAGGAGGGGAAAGATGGGCTTCATTGGTTTGGTTCTCTTCCTGCTCCCCAAATTCCGGTGATGCTGTGCTTTTTGCAAGTATTGTGCTTCCTTGACTTTGATTACCAGCCTTTGGTTCTTAAAAACAGCACAAAAGTCTGGAAATTGCCTTTTTTATTGTTCTTGACCAGGGGCAAGATGGTGAGAATCATTCTCTGGTGGGGGGTGGGTGCTCACGTGTGTGTGCATGTGCAAGGCTTTTGAGCCTTTAAGGCGAGTCTTAGATGGTCTTCCCTTGGAGGTGCTCACAGGTGGACAATGCCAGCAGCTTCCTGGGGATCTCATGCCTCCTTTGCAAGTGGCTAGGCATCATGCTGGTGGCCTGGAAAACCTGGGATTAGCAAACCCTGCAAGGGACACTCATTACCTAGTGATCCTGATGCCAGGGTGGGCTTGCTGCTCATTGCATGACAACTTCATCAGGGAAACCTCACCTGGACCGCTCCTGAGGGCTAGGGCTTGGCTCCCCCTTACCATCCAGGTACCATTTTGTGGCACCTTTCAATGCCTACACTCTCCTATAAATTATTTTTATTACTATTAGTACTACTACTGTTTGGAGACCAAAACAGCTTGCTAGGCTGTCCTGGTTTCAGCTGGGATGTAGTTAGCTGTCTTCCTAGTAGCTGGTACAGTGCTATGTTTTGAGTTCAGTATGTGAAGAATGTTGATAACACTGATGTTTTCAGTTGTTGCTCAGTAGTGTTTAGACTACAGTCAAGGATTTTTCAGCTTCTCATGCCCAGCCAGGGCACCTGACCCAAACTGGCCAACAGTGTATTCCATACCATGTGACGTCCCATCTAGTTTAGGAACTGGGAAGTGGGGGGGGCAGGGTTTTTCGCCGCTTGGGGACTGGCTGGGTGTCGGTCGGCGGGTGGTGAGCGATTGCCCTGTGCATCATTTGTACATTTCAATCCTTTTATTACTACTGTTGTCATTTTACTAGTGTTATCATTATCATTATTAGTCTCTTCTTTTCTGTTCTATTAAATCGTTCTTATCTCAACCCAGGAGTTTTACTTCTTTTCCTGATTTTCTCCCCCATCCCACTGGATGGGGGGGGGGTGAGTGAGCGGCTGCGTGGTGCTTAGTTGCTGGCTGGGGTTAAACCACGACATAGGCTTTTGGGTTTGAGAATTCAAGAGGCAGACAAAACTTTTTGTAATATGCTGATTGAGCAGGTCTTTGGGGCCTGAAAGATGAGGCCTTGAGTTCAGAACAGGGAATTTCAGGGGAGTCTTAGCTAATATGACAAACTGGGGTGCCTAAGAGGCTGGTGCTCACTAGCCTCTTCTGCTCCTCAGGTGGGAGTGACAGTTACCTCCAACAGCATAAAATTACAGATGGTGCCAGAAGACAATGCTCTCTGGTCTTTCAGAGGTCTACCTGGCAGGGACTTTGATTCAGAAAAGCACTTAAGCTGTGCTTAACTTTTATGAGATTTAAGCACATGTAAGTCACCTGAAGTGCTACAATATATGCTTAAGATACACACTTAAATCTTATTAAGATTAAGCACAGGTTTCTGTACTGGAGCCTCAGTGGGTGTTTGTTCTTCATATTTTTTCAACAAAATGAAAGATATTTTGGTTTTTTTATCTTTCTCTGCTATTACTTAATGGGGTGAGAGACTCTGACTGTGAGATATCTGCTAAGACTTAAAAAGAAAAGTGGGGTTTTAAGGTAAAGTAAGAAGGACTTTGTAATCCCTTTGTAAACCTAGTAGTTTGCAGTCAAGTAGTGTGCTCTTTATGGGGAAGAAATCAATAAGATTTCTGTACAGAGGAATAATAAATATATATTACATAGATAATGCCCTGTATATAAGTTGGATTGATAATAACTTAACATAAATGTATAATGCAAAGCATTGCAGTATCGTTTATGATGCAGTCATGATTTTAGACAGCAATTACGACAGGGGAAAAGCATTAGCTGGAGAACCAAAATCTTGATTAACAATTTGACATGCTATTACTGGGAAAGGGAAAGAGAATAGAGAATGTAACAGGCTGCGTCCCCAGCTTTCAACCTCCCTAAAAGTTTTCATTGGCACTTGCGCGTATCTGAGCATATGTATTGTAGGTGCATCAGATTCCATGTATTTGAACTTGAGCAGCTAAATTAGACCTGCTAAATTTAGATTTAGGTACTTAATTAAATGATCTGCATTTTTTGAGATACTGAATAGCTAGCACATCTTTTAAATGCAGACAAGCTGCCTTTTTCATGTTAAAGAAGACGCACAAATTCAAAGTGAACACAACAAAATCTCATCTGCGTGCAGGCAAGACAGCTGTATGCAGGTGCATGGGTAGGAATTGCATAACTGGTAGCTTTTTCCTTTGGGCTACTGCTGGTTGCTCATAGAGCTCTGACTCTTTTCCCATCTGAGCAGAGGAGCTGTGATGTATTGCTCTATACAGATGATTTCAAGCATATAGAAATGGCATTCCTTTTAACGTGCAGCTCAGTGCTCTACTCTCAGTAAACCAGTTGGCAAGTTTTGCAGGGGATTTTTTTTTCCCCCCACTTTGTTTGTTTGTTTTTTAATGCATGCTGCTACTTCACTGTCCACAACAGAAGGAGAAGTTTGCTTGGATTTCCACATCCTTGATTTTAAGGAGTATTTTTAACATAGTGGTATCTATCTTTTAAAATGCAGTATTTAAAAATATATTGCCACTTCCTCAGCAGCCAGGAGCAATGGGCTGGCCCCAGCTCTGGAATGAGCCCTGACCTGTGGGTAGTCTGGTTTTGCAGCCCAAGGGTGAATGGTGGAGGGAACAGAGGTTGTCCCTAGTGGGTGGAAATGGATGATATTCCTTATCGGCTAATGCAACTGGCATGTAAATCATTACATCTCAAAGCCAATTTAAGTATGTTGGGAGCTGAATCCCGCCTTACTCTCCTCTTTATCTGTACACAACCAAAGCATGGTCTGGCCAGTTGTTTGCATTGGCAAAAACTGAAGTCCTTTTCCTTTCCCAAAAAACCTGTCAGCATTCTATGTAAATCTCACAAAATGCTGTGGTCCATAGTAGAGGCTGTAATTTGCATGTATGCTGGGACAAGAGTGTGGCTTTCCTTACACCAGGAACCCAGGCTTTGTGAGAAGCTATGCCCATATGGCTTTGGCTGTGTTACGCACATAAAGGGGCACAGTTTTCTCCAGCCATTATTCATCTGTTCTTGACGAACAGTTGTCTTCCCCTGTGACATTATAGTAGTCAGTCAAACAGATATAGGGACGGGGAAAATAATCTGTGCTGTGGATGAGGCCAGAGTAGATGAGCTCAGTGCCCCATCTCTCATCCTCATATGCTGCCATCACCTCTTCCCATGATAGACCGACCTGGGGATTTCCCATTCATCTGGATCCACGCAAGCACTGCCTCGTGCATGTGGTGGAAGCGATGCTTTGGCCCACGGCACCGCTCATCTGATAGCACCAAACACATTTCTCTGAAACACTGATAATTCAGGTGAAGCATTTTTGTAATCTGCATGGGCATCAGGAGAAGGCCTTTCTATTTATTTGTCATTGCTGACAGAAAAGAAATAAAATGCTCAATGTAGGAATTAAGCACGATGCACTCCCTGCTTTAGTGAGTGGGGTAACCCCACGACCCCCTCCCTCCTGTGCCACATCCTTGTGTCAGAAAAATAGCATGTGTCAGGTTTGATTTACTTTCCTCCTTTCCCATACTATCCTCTTTTGATCCAAATTTCATATTCCACAGCACATGGCCCAAGTTGCAGCATCTTTATCAGAGTTTTTTGTTACTGCAGGAGATGACTGGTCACATAATATTGCCACTGGATACTCTGGGGGCTTGTGCTTGGGGATGTTGAGGGAAGGGGAGAGGAAGAAGATAAAGTCAATAATCCAATTTGTCTGAGGTAATGAAAAGGAACTCCAGTGATTTCTCACCTCTTTAGGCTTTCTGCTAGTGGGTCTGAATTAAAATTTCCTTGCTCCTAATTTTTGGTAAAGCGGAAACCATTTGCTGTTACAGCCGTGCTGCTGCCTTTGTGATCTGCGAGGTCCATGTGGTGTTCTCCCATGAGCTGTGAATTGTGATTTTTCTCCACTGTAATGTCCAGTCCTTTATCTAGTCCACTGCTGGATTTTGAAACACTTTTTATTTCTAAGAGAGGGTTGGGATCATCCTCATTGTTTTAAGAACACCCAGAGATTAAATGCTTCCTCTGTGTAAATGCAGCAGGACAGTGGCAGAGCAAAGCCAGGTCCCCGCGTGCAGGGCATGATGCAGCAGGCAGTAGGGATAGCAGTCTTGCCCCACTCTCTCTTTGACTTGCTGATATGTTATTTTTAGGCTTTTTTGAGGTGCTAACTGCAGGAGCGTCTCAGATCTTTGCTTGCACTCCATGTGCATTTTAGTACCCTAAAGTCAGTGAAATGGGATATGTTATGTGCCCATGAGGAAGGTCCTCAAGTTCTGCTTTAGCATCCACAGTATTATAATTGAACATATGCAACACTGGAACTCTGAATGCCATTTAAGTTTTTTTCATGCAGAGTTCAAGTTTTTGGGACACGATTAATAAGTGAGGAAAACCCCAATTGTACTGTTCAGTATAAAAGACTTCTATGCCTAAAGCAGCTAACCAGGAAAAATTTTTAAAAATGAACATATTAACACATTACAATTAACTCCATTGGACTGCCTGTCTTATTCTTCTAGTAGAAAGGTTTTATTTTGTTTAATCTGTAACCTAGTGCACGCTACTACCTCTTGCAATATGAATTGATTTGTCACTGAATCAAAAATTGTAGGGCCAAATAACTAAAAGTGAGGTTCCTAGATCTAACTTTTCCAAAAGTCTCA